GAGTCATTTGTCTAAGAGGTGGCTTGCTGCCACGTGGGGGTGGGAGGGGAATTTTAATCTTTATCCAACTTATTAGTTAATTAGATAATGTGCCATTACCCGATAATTAACCAATTACCCGTATAATTAAGAATGTCTCAAATTACTTAAAATTCTACTTATTTTTAATATACTTTATTCATCATACTATCATAGTCATATGGTACCTTGTATGGTAATAGCCCATAAATATCGAGTATTATAGCTCGGACCGTATTTCATCCCAAATCGGCAACCTTCAACGAAACTCATTTTCTCTAATTCGTGTACCTTTTATCCTTCATGGCACTTACTTATCGCTTGTTATATATAGCATAAATAAGATAACCTCATCCCGCGTCTACGTCGATTAACTGAAGACGAAACTTTAACGTATGAAAACGCGAGATGTAACAAGCTGAATACTTGAATTGAAAGCATGCCTACCTTAGTGCACAGTTTAATTTTGTTTACCTGTTGAGGTTTAGTCCTTCATTACCTGTCAGTCCATAGTTTGGACTTGTTACTTACTGAGTTGGTGTACTCACGTTACCCCCTGCACCTTGTGTGCATATCCAGGTATCTCAGGCCACGATAGCGGCTGTTGATTACTCCAGTTGCTGACTTTCATCGGAGATAGCGAGGTAGCTGCCTGGCGATTGCAGACATGCCTTTCTCCTTCTTTATCTTCCCTTTAGTATATTTTGGTATTCTCAGAACAGTTGTAGTACTTGCTCATAGCTTAGTGACACCCGATGTCGAGCTTTTATTTTCGCATTTTGGTTTTTGAATTGATCTCTTTTACTAAATTTCAGTATGGAAAAGGCTATTATCTAACTTTTAATGAAATATCGAATTGTTTGGGAGTGTATCGGCTTGCCTAGTTCCATAATAGGCGTCATCACATCCGGGTTGCTTTTGGATCGTTACACGGAAGAATGCCATCGGGAGGAAATGCACAAGAACATGATCAATCTTTAGTCAGGGAAGGCTACAGGCCATTCAATCTTGTGATATAAAGATTATTTCAAAAAAAATACTTATATCAAGACATGCCAAAAAGCAAAGTAGCCCTACATACCTTATTACTGAAGCTAATTATGTTTCCCCGATTCTTACATGTACTATGAGTTTATATTCGCACACGAAAATTCCTTCTTAATTTCGAGATTACTTCACTTCCAAGGAGTCTCCAAAATTAGCACAACAAAAAGAAAGATGCTAACATGACGATCACGAAATTCCTCACGTTAAATTCATTGGGTTCGCCTTTGATCTGGCCTTAGATCATATGAGAACTCATAGAGGGAGTTTGAGAGTGTTTGGAGAGTGTCTGAAACTGTTAGAATCGTGTAGAATGAAAGAGAGAGTGGTTGCACTGCTTTTTATAGATATTCTAGAAAAAAAATGGAACATCCACCGTCTGCTTGCGCAAATCTCGCGAAAAAGACTAAAATTTCAACAATCCTATGATGCAATTGCCCATAAGCTCGTTGTTGTTGTTCAACCCAACGTTGAGCGAATTGTTGACATTATTGTGTGTCATAACTCTAATATGCTTGTTAAAACAAGAAAATCTTTAAGCAAGTTAGTATAAAATTTAACATATCAAAATAATACTACAATTGTCTAACTCTATAGTAGATGTCAAATTGTTTAACTATAAATATACGTAGTTTATAGACACACGAATTAAGATGATCTGATTAAAAAATTTATAAGTGTGATAGTAACAAAATAAAGATACTTAAAGAAAGAACAAGCGTGAATTTCATATGTAATCCACCAAGTAAAGCGAACAATGAAGTTCAAGTAAATACTTTTGTATAGAACTATGAAAATTAAAGAAAGAGAATTTGTTCTTGATGATTCTTGTAGATCGTGTCCTTATAATGAGTATAAATGCCCCTATTTATAGTTAAATTTGAGGAGACAAGATCTTCAAATTTCGCCATCTTTAATATGAATAAAACCTCTCTTAATGGCGGCATAATGTTGAGAATAAATATCGACATTTTTCTAACAACTGCTCCTTTAATTTAATTTTGTTCAAGTGGTATCTTGTTTTCAAATTCACTTCTCAGATATTTGTGTCTTTGCAATTTACATAATACAGGTTACATTGTTGTATCCATTATTAGTTGGTTGTTGACTCATCTTCATCTTGTCACAATTGCCACGTGTCTACCGGAGAGTTGTCCACCTGTAAACTCTAAAATTTACTCAATGTAGTCTTGTGGTTTTTTATATTAGATTTGTGTCCCTTATATTCTCATACCAATCCATGTCCAATAGAATAAAGAATGTGGAGAAGCAACAAAGTCAACAAGCTCGTTAATCACCAAGTATGAGAATACTTTGAAGAAAACTTATGATATCTTTATTAGAGTAACCTACGATAGCATATAGCAAAACAAAGGAGATAAATGTAATATTATAAAACAAAAAGAAGATTAGTGTTACGAAATAAAATTTAAAGGAGGTCTTTGAAATTATTACTTAGTATAAAGATGAATGTGACTTTAAATAAATAAATTAATATTAATAATTAGATGGTCCGTTAAGTAATTAGAGTGTATATTTAAAATATAAGGATATTTTTACAAATAAAGAGGGCGGAAAATGCACGAGATAGCGTTGAATATGCTACTAGCCCATCCATCCTACTAAAATCAAAGGATTAAATTAAAAATAGTATAAAGTGAAAACCTAAATCATGAGTTACTATCAAATTAGTATGACTCTGTGAGGCACGCAAAAGTAATCGAGAGCGAGAACTACATTACAATAATTTGATTCGTAGGAAGGACCCTTTCGTAGGAATATATGCCATACATATGCTGCGGTGCAAAGTGCAAAATCAAAAATTCGACTAGTTAGAACGTTAAGGTTCTCATTCTCCTAAGTTGTAATTGTATTGGTAAAAATTAAGTTCATATATATTGAATTTAATGAAAGATGACGTGTCATGACACGTAGACTGGTCAAAGGATGACGATCAGCAAAGAATAATTAAAGAGGCACGAGATACAACAGGCACGAGCAGAGATTCAAGAGACTCGGTACCCGCACCTCTTTATGTTCAAAAGTCAAGATAAG